ATTTGATTTGATATGGCATGTCTTTGTGCCACAACATGATATGATATGGCTTGATACTGATTTGACATGATATTATACCGTGTGATAACCCTAAACCCTAAACCCTAAACCCTAAACCCTAAACCCTAAACCATGGAGGCCTGGGGAGCACGATTGGTGGTTTCCACCATGGTCGGTAGCAGCTGCCCCTGCTCGTCGAGGCTGCGAAGCAGGTGCCTCGTCTCCTCCGACGTGTCCGCAAAGGAGTCCAGATGGTCCATATCCACGGTCACCATGGCATCGTAGCCGAGGGGCGCCATCAATGCCGAAACCGAAAGCCTAAACAAGAAACCTTTCACCAAATGACCTCCATGTCACGCCTGCTCCTGCACTCGGCGGTTTTGCGTGTCCAGCCCCTGACCCCAAATCTTTAGGGTTTAGAGTTTGGGGTGTAGTAGGGTTTAGCAAACCTAAACCTAAACCTACAAACTTTGTTTTGGGACAGGTTGGGGAATCAAAATCAAAACCCAAAGCATCTCGTCTGGTTGGGTTCTTCGAGGTCTGAGTTTGCATCATGACGAATATACTTGTTAATGTACTAAAATATAAATTCTATATACTATGTTTTGCTATATTGTACCATAAGATAATCTGTCATACTAAATCTTGCATCAAGGCGTCCTACAGGGCAAACCGGACCGGTCCAGGACTTCTTCGTCCTGGACTGGGCAGGCGATTTGAGCCGATGACACAAGGGTGGGATCTAGGATTAGTCTATTTGGGCACATGGACCCTTAGGGGCATCTGAAAATGCAGCCGAGCGACATCTTCGAGAGTTTAGGGTACTTGAGTTGCCGGCTTCTGGAATGGGAGCTAGGATTAGGGGGACCCTTGGGGATATAGACCCTCTCAATAAGGCCCCTTTTAAGAGAGCCAAAAGTAGGGTTCAGAAGGGGTACCCTTTAAGGGGTACCCCTAATAATACTACCTAAAGGGGGCCTCAGAGCTTTTCAATAAGGGTTTTCGGGGTTTAGGATTGAGGGTTTAGGGTTTAGGATTAAAACCCTAAACCCTATACCCTGTACACTAAATCCTAAACCCTAAACCCTAACCGGCCCTAACCCATCCCGAAACCCAACCTGTCGGATAAAGGGGTTTTGGTTCAAACACATTCGGCTGTTTCTGTGCCCCTGTTCCTTGCTTTGGGCGTCTGCGTCCATGTAAGGCGCAGAGCATGCATGCCAGTCTTGAAGCTTCGTGGGCGAACCTCCAAGTAGCGCTACAGGCTTGTGCACCCCGTGCTTGGTAAGCAGGCCTTTGTGACCTCGCAAACCTATACAGAAGCAGCAGGATCACAACGCACATTCCTTGATTCAGCTGTACAGGGTCCAGCATGCTGTAGGGTTTCGCAACCTTCAGCTCGCCTTCATATCTGGCCTCATGTGCTTCCTCGTCGCCACGGACAGCGCGAGGGTCACGGAGAAGAGCGCAAGCAGGACCGGGGCAAAGGAGTCTGGGCTCAGGGCGGAGCACACGATCGCACCGCCTCCCCGACCTAGGCCCATGAAGATCGCAGCGGAAGTCATCATGCCGTTGATCGCCTCCGGCGGCACCATCTTCGAGCAGATGCTCAAGGCCAAAGCTCTGGCAAAGCCCTGTGTGATGAGCACCGAGACGAGACCAATCGTCAGCAATGATACCTGCAAGTTTGGCGAATCCACGTCAAAGTTGAAGAGGAATACACAAGAGGCACAGGCGAGAAGCTCGCCCGCAAGCAAGCCAGGCACATCACCACAAGCCATTGTTCGTATCACTTTACCCAGACTCAGGTTGATCACACCTTATAGGGGAGTCCCATCAAAAGGCAGGAAGCTAACTGTCTGCTCTGCCCCTAGAACCAAAAGGAAACAACCCTGACCACCAAGCCTGCACAGAACCTGGAGACCTATATGGGTTAACTAGGCAAAACATCCGGTTTAGGGTTTAGGGTTTAGGGTTTAGGGTTTAGGGTTTAGGGTTTAGGGAAACGAAACCTTGAACCCTAAACCCGGCCTGCGACCAGCATGATCAACGCCACGAACCAGGCAGCGCCGGAAATCGACCAGCCAAGGGTGCTCCGAGTCATACTGATGGCGTAGACCTCCACATGAGCCGCACTGTGTAAGCGGTGCTGGGGCTTAGGGAGCATGCTGCAGATCATGAGACCATGTGATTTACAGGGTTCTTGTTAAGGGAGCTGGTTTAACTTACCATGATCGGGATCTATGGTAGTTAATATGGTTTCTGTATTATGGTCATTTAACCTAAGTCCCCTAACAAGAACCCTAAACCCTAAACCCTAAAAGGGCTGATGGTTTTGCCGGGTGTTCCAAGAGCTTCCGGTTTGGAGCCGCTCTACGCGCACGACGGAGCCACATATCTCCTGCTTAACATTGCTGTCCTCGTACTGACCGAGAGGGTCCATAGATGGGTTTAGGGTTTAAGGTTTAGGATTTTGGGTTTGGGGTTTAGGGTTTAGGGTTCATATATATATATATATATATCTATATATATATATATTAATGGTAATGTACACGGACCCTCTGCGTGATCCATACCATCTCCACAAGTGGCAACGAACAACCCCGAACACGTAGTCCTCCTAGAGATAAATAAGGCTTGGTGGAAAGTTGAATTAAGTTCTAAGCCGAAGCTACCGAACCATCATAGCAAGACCTGTGCAATGAGGAACAAGCATTATCGTGGAACGTGATACCTTAAACCCTAAACCCTAAACCCTAAACGCTAAACCCCAAACCCTAAACCCTAAACCGTCATGCACTACTTGCTATGCCAGTAAAGAGACTTCAAAGCCCCACCCAACCTCCACGCCGGTGGTCACAGCACTGGCGACGAAGAGCTGCCAGAAGCAGGCACAAGCGGCCACAACCTGGCATGGTATAGTAGAGTAAAGTACGGTTTAGGGTTTAGGGCTTAGGGTTTATAGGGCTTAGGGTTGAGGGTTTAGGGTTTAGGTTTTCTAGTCTGCATAGCAGAATGCAGTAGGATATACTGTAGTATAGCGTAGCATAGCGTAGCATAGTGTAGCATAGCACAGCCTAGTAGTTCAAGGAGCCCTCCTCATGGTTTAGCGTCTCAGGATTTAGGGCTGTTCGGATCTCCCAAACCCCAACCCCAAACCCTAAACTAAACCCCAAACCCCCTAAATCCCAAACTCCAAACCCTAAACCCCAATCCCTAAACCCTAAACTAACCCCAAACCCCGTAAATCCAAACCCTAAACCCCAAACCCTAAACCCTAAACCCCAGCCTTTTCGAAGCTCAAACGCTGCTTGGGACTCCTTGGGCTGCGGAGAGTGCGGCCTGAGGAGAAACGAAAACAGAGGGCTTTTTTGGGCTTAGGGCTCAGGGCTGAGGGTATAGGGTATAGAGGTGTAGGGGTTTATATATCGGGTTTAGGGGCTGAGGGTATAGAGGCTTAGGGGTTTGGGTGTTAAGGGTTTAGGGTTTAGGGGTTAAGGGTTTAGGGCTGCTAGGTTGAGGCAGGCTCATCGGGGGCTCATGGGGTCTTAGGGCCTAGGCTTAAGGGCTAAAGGGTTTAGGACTTAGTGCCCTTAGGATTTAGGAGAGAAGTCATCGCGCGTTTCGGGCCTAATATGGGGGCCTCAATATTAGAATAGGGTTTCGGGGCGCATTGTACTACACAAAAAGAACCCCCAAGATAGTATTGGTACATATTTAGGCCCCTACATTACAGGGTCGTCGTCTAGTGCTTTGAACTTTGGGCTCGGAAACTGAAGATAAGAGTTGACTGGGATTTGGGGTTTAGGCTTTCTAGAGCCGAGTGAACCATAAACCCGAAACCCTAAGCCGTGAAACCCCAAAAGCGTTCAACCCTAAACTCCTGAACCTTAGAAACTTCTCAACCCCGAACTGTTATTCTCAACCGTTTTCTTCCATACTGAACGCGGGCCTCTTGCAAAATTGAAGACTCAGCAAGGGCTTAGGGTTTAGGGTTCCGGGTTTGGGGTGTAGGGTACCCGAAATATTCCTGAACTCTTTCCCTTCTTCGACCTCTCCACAGCTGCAGGGGCCTTAATAGTTAGAACAGAGTTTTGGGAGCGCCTATATGGTAAACATAGTATACTAGACCCCGAAACCCTAAACCCGAAACC